CCCCGGCTCCGTCGGGGTCCCGACGGCCTCGGCCGCCCCGCCAGGCCTCGCCCCTCCTCCTCACCGAAGGAAACGGACGCCAGCGCTGCTCCCGGGGCTGCCACCACGGCTGCGGCAGGCGGGCCGCGGACCGGCCGAACCTGAGCGAACGCGGCTTGGGGTCACGAGGCTGGGCGGTGAAAGGCGCAAGAAGTCGATTTCGAGGTTCGTTCGTTGTGGGCTGGGTCCCTAGACGGCCGAATCGCCCGTTTTGTCCCGGCCTGCCCTTTCCTTGACTTCGCCTGCCGCCACCGCCGCCAACTCCTGCTCGGTATCCAAAACAAAATGGCCGCCACGCCCAGTGCGAAGTGGGACCGGCTAAAATGGCGTCGACGCCTTTACGTCAGGCGTCGGGTGCGCGCGCAAGTAGGGGCGGTCCGGATGCGTGCTACGCCTGCGCGGCGAGAGGAGGTGGAGTCTTCCGCGTTTGCCCTCTGCTCCGCCCAAGAGGGGCGTGGGCGCTCCCGTCTGGGACTGTGGTGGCTTTAACTTTCTGGCCGGGCTGCACTGCCTGCTACTTGCACGGGAACTGGGAAATCCGGACTGCCGAAGACAGCTTCCGTTTAGAATGAAAGCAGTGTTCATATAACCTCGTCCCCTAACCCCCAAGATCAAAAAATGTGCGGGATTGCCTGGGTCTCTTCCCGATTCCCGGACCTGGGTGATTTCTTCTGGGGCTGTCATCTCTGTTTGACCTGCTGAGTTGTGAGTGGCATAAATGCCCTGACCAAGGCCCAGGAGGCTAGTTTGGGTGCACACCTCTAGCCGATCCTCCACCAGCCACCCCTGCCATCCTTACATTCCTCTTAACTTCATAGGTACCTCACCTTGACTTGATACCCTTAGGGAGAACCTTCATGTCTTTCCATGGTCCCCCTTCCATATATTAATTCCCTACCCACCTGCCGTTCCTGTGGATTTTGATGCATATCTAAAAAGATTTTTCTCCCCCTCCCCTTTCTCTTTTCTAGATAGGCTCTGACTATGTAGCCTAGGCTGGCTTTAAACTTGTGATTTTCCTGCTTCAGTCTCCAGAGTGTTAGAATTACAAGTGGGTCTCACATGTCTGGCTAACAAGGGATTTTTCTTATGGCAGGTTATATAATAAGGTACACAGAGCCAGGTGCTAGTGGCTCATGTTTGTAATCCTTGCTACTCAGGAAGCTGTGATTTGAGGATCACCGTTTGAGGATAACGGTGGCAGGAAAGTCTTTGAGATTCATCTTCAATTAACCAGCAAAAAGCTGGAAGAGGAGCTGTGGTTCAACTGTTAAGAGTTCCAGCCTTGAGCAAAAAAGCTAAGGGACAGCCTCTCGCCCTGAATTCAACCCCCAGTATTAGCACAAAGAAAAACAAAGTGCCCAGATGTTTGCTGGATGAATACATCGTTGACCCTTATTCTGCCCAATAGGCACTTCAGCATTTTTTCATTTTCTTCTGGCATTTATGCATATATGACCTGGGGGTGGGGTGGAGGGATGTTTTTAGTGATCCTGCACCCTTGCAGGACTTGACCCAGGTAAGTGTAAGGATTGAATTTATTTGTTCACTACTGTGTCCCCAGTTGCTGTGTAATATGTAGCACATGGGAGGGCCTTAGTAATGGTTGAAAGTTGAAAAAGAAGTTGTTCTGTTTTTATAGTTGAAATTGATACCTCTTATACTTCCAGGTGGAACCTTGGACCCTACGTTTCTAGGCATTGAACATTCCTCAAATAGGAGATACACATGAACTTGCTTCAAAATAAGGGGAGCTAGACGTGAGCAACCCCCACTTCTACCCACTTTCAGACACCAGAGGAGACAGACATTGATGGCAGGTGAGAGAGAAGCCTTTAATGAAATGAATTGCAGGCCTAGACTGCTACTCTTGCGCCCTTGTGTGTGGCGAGCAGGATGGGCAAGGATAGGAGTGTGAGGAGACATAGGCAGAGTGAGGGAAAAGCTGGGTAAGAAGGCAGAACTTCCAGGATGGTGGGGAAGGGCGCTGCCCACTAGGGCTGTGAGCTCAGCTGTTCTCCCAGAAGAAGTTGTTACAAGCCACGGTGAGAGCAGCAACCAGCACCACATACTCCTGGAAGTCTACCTCCCCATCTCCATTCTCATCTAGTTCCTTCATCACCTTGTCCACAGCATCAGCATCCTTCTGCACCTGAGGAGGGAGGGGTGAGAGAAGGAGGTGAGTCAGGTGGGTGAGAAAAGTTGAAGTGGAGATAAACAGGAAGAACAGAATCTAACTATTGGGAGCTTTCTGCAGCCCTCCTCCAAACTGGTGGGTTCCTGTTGCCTACAGAATCAACTCCTAAACCTGGCCTGAGTTAATAACAGTTACTGTATGTTTGTCTACCATGTGACACTCACTAACAGCCTTAGAGTCATTGTTTAATATAATTTTCTTTTTTGGTCGGCCATGGGACTTGAACTCTGAGACTGGGCGCTGTCTCTCAGCTCTTCAGCTCAAGGCTAGTGCTCTACCACTTGAGCTACAGCCCCACTTCCTGTTTTCTGGTGGTTAATTGGAGATAAGAGTCTCACAGACTTTCTGCCCAGGCTGGCTTTGAATGACAATCTCGGAGCTCAGCCTCTTGAGTAGCTAGGATTATAGGCATGAGACACCGGTGCATGGTTAGTATAATTTTTGTGTGTGCCAGTTCTAGAGCTTGAACTAAAGGAATGTATGCTAACCCTGAGATTTTTGCTCAAAACTAACACTACCACTTGAGCCACAGCTCTACTCGGCTTTTGGTGGCCAATTGGAGATAAGTGACTCACATACTTTCCTGCCCAGGCTGGCTTTAAACCTCAAACTCAGATCCCAGGTTCCTAAGCTCGGATTACAGTGTAAAGCTCTAGGGTTTGTTTAGTTTAAGTCTAATGAAAATAATATATAGCGAGCCGGGCGGTGGTGGCTCACGCCTGTAATCCTAGCTACTCAGGAGGCTGAGATCTGAGGATCGCGGTTCAAAGCCAGCCCGGGCAGGAGAGACCATGAGACTCCTATCTCCAATAAACCACCAGAAAACCAGAAGTGGCGCTGTAGCTCAAGTGGTAGAGCGCTCGCCTTGAGCTGAAGAGCTGAGGG